AAACATCTACTTCTAAGTAGGGTCTATTATCTCCTTGACAAGAGGTAAAAATATAGTTTAAAACAGGAAGTAGGTTATTTGAGGCAATATTCAAAGTGGTTTGTGAGACCGAAGTAGGATTTCCCGAGTTCAATTTACGGTCACTCATTGACTCGGTCTGGATTTTCCCGAACAATTCGGACAAGTTCTAACTGTAGTGTCTGGCTTTCCGCAGCGAAAACAATGTAATTTTAAGGGTTCCTTACAATGATTTTGACGATGCCCTTCTTTACCGCAGTTCCAGCATTTGATACTCTGGTTGCGCGAACCAGTATTTACTTGATTTAATGAAGGCACGATCTCGGAATTAATATTTTCGTTTGAGTTAGAATAATTACTGTTGGAAGGATTTGATAAAATTTGCGGTTCCCAAATAGTATTACTAGACGTAAGAGGCAAAAGATGACTGGTATTATTATTTTGACCGACTGGATCAATATAGTTATCGGAAATCGTGGCTACTCGAGGTTGAATTTGATTGGGCCTTCGATAAGCTAAACCCGGTTCAACCGAATATCTAGTACTTGTTGGTGGCGGCACGTAGTTATTTGCCGAAAGATGAGCTTACTCTAATATTTGACATATTTCCGACAGTTCTTGAACGGTACAAATTTGTAAATCGGTCCCTACTGATTTTAAAGCTAGAGCAGTTTGTAAATACGGCAAAACATTCCGTTTCAAAAAATTTACCCTTTCCAATTCGCTAGGTTTAGCATGGAATTTTTTAAAACAGTTTTGCATTGTTGCAACGTAGAAAACAATTTTTTCCTAAGGATGCTGAGTTCGTTTCTCCAGTTGTTTCCACAACTCTCGGTCGTAATCACTGGGTTGAAAAGTTCGTAGCATTTTAGTTACTAAGTCATCCCAATCCCAAACGTGTTCCTGAACTGAGCGGTATCAGTTCAATGGTTCATGTCTAAAAATTTCTGATATAGAATTTAACAACTGCGCTTTAGAAAAAACACGAGATTTGCGTAACTCCTCAATTCTTTCTAAGAAGCAAGACAAACTCATATTTGAGCCATCATAGTACAGATCAAATTATGGGCAAAGTTTCCCGAATAATTGGAGCTAACTTGATGCGAGCAACAGGGTTTTGCCAAAGAAATTTCATTTAATTTTGTTAGAAAACTAGCTATCACCGTAGATAGAGGATCACCTGTTTTTTTTGAGGTTCTTGGTTGGCAGCTGCATTTAATTCTGATTGAAAGTTACTATTCGCGTTATTTACCGGAGAATTTACGCGTGAGCTTGAAGTTTGATTTTCACCTAAGTCGATGAGAGAAGGTGATGATGGATTTTCTCGATGGACCGCGGTATTGGAAAAAAATACACGATGACTTGAACGAGCAGTTGACAAATTAATAATTTCTGTTTGGTTACTAAATCTCGATGGAATATCATTTTGCGTACCAACATTTTCCGGATTATTTTGATTAACACCCGTACTATTTACTTCACCTGGTAAACCGGATGCATGATATGTATGTTCCAATATTTGAAAAAGTTTACAACAAAGGTCATTTAATTCATTTCTAGAATTAGCAGTTTCGGAATTATTCGGAACGAATCTGTTTAAGCGTCCCTGTACGTGAAGCAATCGAGTCTTTATACTTTTATACTCATTCTCCCGGTTGTTTATTTAAAAATCCTGAATTCTACCGGACAATTCATCTAGCTTTATCTTACAAATATTTAATTCCTGGATATCTGAAATAAAACTATATTCCAATTCATTGGAAACTGGTTGGCCTGCGCGTTCCTGCTGAAATAATTCACGCAATAAAGTTCTTTTCTCTTTCACGTTTTGACCAGAACTAACACCCCGAACTGAAAGTTCGTATGATAATTCATCGCTGAGTAACCTATTGACTTCCATAATTTAAATACTAGTAAAGTAATCTCTAAACGATATGAGATTATATTAAAAATAATTTAAGTTACGCTTTATAACTAATTATAATAAGTAATGAGACAAAAAAGACAGTGTTTACACTGACTCACCCCCTCCGAAAAAGGCGGAAAACCCGACACACAAAAAAATAACAATTTTATCAATGCATAGTATGGTATGAAATATTTAGTGATGAAAATGAACAGCAAAGTAATTTTCAATATTAATTAATATTATCTAATCTTTGTAGCAGAAAAAATCTAACATTAGTGTTTAAAGAAGGCAATATGTTAATCTTACTTTAAGTTAGTAACCAAATTTAAAAAAAATGTAAATGAAGAAAAAAAAATAAATCTGTATCTATATAGCTAAGTTGAAACTATATTAATATCGAAACTTTATTATATACTATTTATATTAGCAAAATCAGTATAATTCTATCTAGATAATATTAAAGAAAAAGAAAGAAAAAAAATTACATATCTATATTCGAAGTAGTTAAATTAAAAACTAGGATCAAATAAGTATCGCAATTAATAATTTATTATGGTTTTTATTTAATAAGTAGATATTAATTATGGCTTGCTTTTATTTAATAAGTATTTAATTAGTATCGATTTTTGTTATTATTATTATTATGGTTATTTATGTATTATTATTTTAATACACCTACAAATATCAAGAAACCCAAATCAATGTGCGAAATAAGCGACACAGTTTATTATTACCTACTAAAACTAGTATAATTTACCCAACATAAATTTATTATTAGATACTTTTTCCGGTTCTGTATACACCTAAAATTTTATTTCTCCATAGATGTATAAAGAGATTTATTAAACCTTTTCCTACGTTTAATAAAAATGTAAATAGAACACCAAATGGATTAGCTGTAAAAACTATCTATTTTTGTTGACCAGCGCAAAAACGAATTTCTGGATAGGTATGCCAAATAAAATATTTCACGCAAAATAAATTTAATTGTTACTTATTGCAGTATTTTTATTTAAAGAGATGTAAATGGAAATGCATCCACTCCTTCAAAAGTATTTTTCCAAAAGAAAAAAAAAATTGAACAAAAGTTTCAGCTTAGAAAATCTTACCATTCGCGTAAAACAACCAAGCATCCATCAGTACAATTAATTTTGATAGGATATAACTTAGTGGCTGAAGAATATTAATACACCACCCCTTTGCCAACTATTTTAAACCGTTGGGCGCCATTTTTGTTACCGGTTGGCCAATCTTAAACATAATAAAATAAAATAAAGGAGCATAAACTAAAAGATCTCCAATATCTCCTTTTAAATCATCATTTCTTAAGGGCCACCAGCGATAGAAAAAAATATATAGTGAGCAGCGATGGTAGCTACACACTTCGGCCAACTAGTCGGCGGGGAGTAGGTAAGGAGGGTGATAAATTTTTACCTTTAATTGTACTGAAGGAGGATAAAAAGAAAGTAATATGAGTAGAACAAAAAAAGTACACTTATATATTTTTATCAAAGCAATACGTTCATTCAAATAGTATAACACTGACAGTATAACAATTATATTTAGTATATAAAGAAAATGAACAAAATTATCACATGTAGGATCTCTCTTAATAGGGCGAGATCTTTAAATATTTCTGCATAACATATCTGATGTTCTACAATAATTTACCCATGATTATAGTCGACTGAAGGTGATCACTTTCGTCTTAACAAACATCCGCCTTTTGGCTTGCAATGGAGTAAAATATATGAACAGACATAAACATATAAAACTCAATCAACACACAAAGAAATAATGACTAACATTGTTACATAAATTGAATAATTTTTCAGCTAAAGGATTTCTTGATAAATATATATCCGGAGGTATCACTATTTTGTATGCCCCAATAGGCTTTAAAAAAAAGAAAAATATCCCTAGCACTTATCTGTGTTCACGGAAGGGCAGATCCTCCAAACTCCCACCCTGAAGTGGTTGGCCAGGTTTTGTCGGAGTAGATGCACCTCCAAATCACCCCTTCGTGCAGGGTGGACTGCATTCGCCGGGAAAATGGTATACACAGCGGGAAGGGAGACCTCCTCCAAACTATCGTCGGGATTCTCCAGATATGGACTACGGGCAAGATTACGTGCACCGTTGCCCCCAATGTACTGATGTGAAATAAGGTTGAACACAGAAGATTCCAAGGAGAAGAACGGAGTTGCATAAGATCCAAGACAAAAAAGAAGAAGAATGAAAAAGCCCTAAAAGAAACATAAAATCGACTTTAATTTACATACCTATCAAATCAGACTAAATTACTCACTTCTACACCTCGTAGAAGGCTTCTTTTAGTATCAAATGTCTGCCTAAGGCGTGGTTCTTAGGTTCGTGCTGAGCCGTTTTGATCCGCTTTGCGAAATGCAGGAAATTAAATTACCCAAGGCACAAAATCTTCCTCACAAATTTGTAGGATACTTTTGTAATATTCCCAATTTAATGGTTAAACACACATAACATAAACTTTAACAAAAGTATCACCGCTCGAAGAACCTCTGCTGTATTCGACACCTCAGACAATAGTACACACGAAAAGCGAATAGGGATACAGCCTGGTAAAAATTAGATCGATATCGATAGGAAGAAAATAATCTACGAAAATAAATTAAAGGAAGACGTATACAGAAGGCACTACAGGAGATAATTATGGAATCCTTTTCCCTATTTATTATATACCCTAAATAAAGGATTAGAATTAGTTTATTCTGGGACTACTTTTCAGTCCTCGCCGGGGTCCTGTTTTTGTCCTGGCAATAAGAGAACACCGGTTTTCGCCGAATTTAAATAGATTGTGGTGAACAATACTAGGCAACCAATTAATCACAGAATGAATTACCCGCTTATAAAAGAATAATAATTAACTATTAAATAAGATATAAGAATTAACTTTGAATTAAGTTTAACCCGTAACAATGATTTATGTTACAATTGCACAAATCAATGCAAGTTGAGCAGCTGTAGACTTTGTGATAAGCGGCATCATACTTACTTGCATAAACCAACTTCAAATCTACAGGGCGTTTCGACTAAAATGGATCCTAGTACATCCAATAGTAAATCCGATACTGCGGGTAACGCTTCGGTTTTACATACTAACAATACTAACAACGTACAAGTATTATTACCCACAGCACAAATAAATGTTGTCACTGCTAACGGAAAATTTATACGCGCAAGAGCGTTGTTAGATTCTGGAAGCCAAACTTCATTTATCATAACTAAATTATTTCAACAAACCGGTTTACGGACCTACAATCAAAATATTCAAGTTTTAGGTTTATCATCTAATCCGATACAAGTAACAAATATGGTAGATATAAAAATACAGTCACGTATTACAGACTTCACAGCCAAATTGTCATGCGCAATTTTAGACAGCATTACTGCAGATTTACCACATTATCCAGTTAACACAAATAAGTTTACCATACCTGACTATATCGCATTAGCAGATCCAGAATATCATACTCCTACGCAAGTTGATATACTCATTGGAGGTGACTTACTTTTTGAAATAATGTCATCTAGATCAAAACAGCTTGGAAATAATTTACCGTTTCTCCAAGATACAAAGTTAGGCTATATAACGGGCAAAGCTCCGACAAGTTACTCGCATCAAGTAAGAGCTTTATGTTCAACCTCAACAAGGGACGTCGACGAAATAATTTCGCGTTTCTGGAAATTAGAAGAAGTCACTTCTAACACTAACAGCATTCGTTTTCGTAATCCCAAAGAGCGATTATGCGAAAAATTATTCGTGGAAAATACTAGTCTTTCCAATGGCCACTTCACGGTGTGCTTACCATTCATTGACGATACAGCTTGTTCTCTACTAGGCGGATCTTTTAACATGGCGTTACGTAGATTTTACTCATTAGAACGACGTTTATTAAAAGACGAAAAACTCCAACTAGAATACAAAAAATTCATTCATGAATATATTTCCCTTGGCCACGCGAAATATTCAAATCTCGATTTGTCAATATTCAAAAACGACAACACCGACGGCTACTTCCTACCGCATCATCCGGTGATTAGGGAGTCTAGTCTTACTACAAAACTACGAGTCGTTTTCGACGCTTCGCTAAAGACCACCAGCGGGTATTCATTGAACGACATACTTTTGACTGGGCCAACAGTGCAGCCTGAACTATTCGACATACTATGTAGGTTTCGCACACATAAATACGTGATTACAGCAGACATCGAAAAGATGTATCGGGGAATAAGAGTAGCAGATCAAGACACTAACTTGCAGCGCATTCTGTGGAGAGATATTCCAAACGATCCTTTGCAATGCATTACGTTAGTAACAGTTACGTATGGAACAAGCGCAGCTCCGTTTCTAGCAACACGAAGCCTAGTCAAATTAGCGGACGATTACGCAACCGACTATCCACTAGCTGGTAATGCTTTACGTCGGGACACCTACGTAGATGATATCCTCTCGGGATCAGATACTCTTGTAGGTTTAGCAGAACTCAAAGCTCAATTAAATGAGTTACTATCGCTAGCAAGTTTCAAGCTCCACAAATGGGTTTCTAATCAAAAATCGGTTCTCTGTGATACTATTACGTCTTCAACAGACAAAGTTGACATTCATTTAACAGACAATGACCTATCAGTTAAAACCTTAGGATTTGGCTACAATCCTACTACGGATATGTTTCAGTTTAGCTCACCAATCGATCAACCGGTTACTAATTGTACTAAGCGAAATATTTTATCATTTATCGGAAAAATGTTCGATCCATTGGGAATTTTGGGACCAGTTATAACTCGAGGTAAACTACTACTACAACAAATTTGGTCTAGAAATCTCAATTGGGATGATCCCCTACCTCCTGATATATTAAAACAGTGGCAAGAATTCGAGAAAGGTATCATACACATGACCGCCATATCTGTACCTCGGTGGCTATTTCTTAGTGATTCTATAATTGCGATAGAGATTCACGCTTTTTCTGACGCCTCAGAAAAGGCATACGGTACGTGCATTTATCTTCGTGTTTTGTACTCCACTCGAGCAGTTAGTACAAGGCTAATCTGTGCCAAATCGAAAGTAGCACCACTGAAACCGATAACATTACCTCGCTTAGAACTGTGCAGTTTTTTGCTTATGGCACGTCTAACGCGTCGGATAATCAACATTTTAAATCTAAAACCTTCCAAAGTGCATCTGTGGTTTGATTCAAGTATTGTACTTAATTGGATAAATTCACCTCCAGGTCGATGGAACACCTTCGTAGCTAACATAGTTAGCGAAATTCAAGAATTGACCAACGGGTTTCAACGGAGCCACGTGAAAACAAAAGACAATCCAAGCGATGTTTTGTCTCGCGGAACAGATCCAAATTCACTCATCACGAATGAGATTTGGTGGAACGGTCCCAGTTGGCTCTGCAAATACGACTATTCTTTTCCAAATTCCGGAACTGTGGAAATAGAACTACCGGAACAACGCAAAACAAGCGTCCATACTGTCATTAAGGTCGATCAAGATTTTAACACGTCTCAATCGAGCAATAGCTTATTGCTTTCGGTTCAGTCACAATGCTAGACTAACATGCGATCGAATTCAAGGTCCATTAACAGTCGCCGAAATCAATCGTGCACATTTGGCTATAATTCGAATTGTTCAAAATCAAGCTTTCAGCAAAGAAATTGCTGTTTTAACAAACAATGGAGATTTAAGTAAAAGCTCAATAAAAACTCTGAATCCATTTCTAGACAAAAACGGGATGTTACGTGTATCAAGTAGGTTACAAAACGCAGATGTAAGTTACGACCAAAAATATCCTCTTATTCTTCCTCAAAACCATCACGTCACACTTTTAATAATACAATCTGTACACTTTTCTCTGTTACATGCAGGACCACAACTGGTTTTAGCACATCTAAGACTTCGTTACTGGCCATTAAATGGCAAACGTCAAGTTAAAAAGATAATCAACAAGTGTGTTACTTGTTTCCGTTTAAAAGCAATCACTGCAGAACAACTGATGGGAGCACTTCCACATGACCGAGTAAGAACTGCGCGTCCATTTTCAAAAGTTGGTGTAGACTATGGTGGGCCATTATTTATTCGCCAATCACGCCTACGAAAGTCCGTCATAACCAAAGCTTACATGTGCCTATTCGTTTGCATGGTAACCAAGGCCATCCATATCGAATTGGTATCGGATATGACAACGGAAACCTTTCTGTTATCGTTAAAACGCTTTATTTCTCGCCGTGGAAAGCCCAATACAATTTTCAGTGATAATGGTTTAAACTTTGTTGGTGCAAATAACCAACTCCGAGATCTTTATGAATTACTCTCTAATAAACGTCATATTTCGCAAGTTCAAGACTCTTCCACCAACCAAGGTATCACCTGGAAGTTCATACCACCACATAGCCCGCACTGGGGTGGTATTTGGGAGTCAGGCATCAAATCTGCTAAGTATCACATTAAACGAGTAATTGGAAACTTAACTCTTACTTACGAAGAACTGGCTACAGTGCTTAACCAAGTAGAAGCCATTCTTAACTCTAGACCGTTGTGTTCGTTATCAAACGACCCCAACGATTTACAATATCTAACTCCAGGTCATTTTCTTATTCACGCACCGCTAACAAGTTATCCCGAACGCGACATAACTGAAACACCGGTCAACCGCTTATCATTTTGGCAGCAATGCACACAGTTACAACAGCAATTTTGGAAGCGCTGGCGAACAGAATATTTAAATCAACTTCAAAGTCGTCCCAAATGGTTTAAAAGTCATTCTAACATTAATGAAAATTCGCTAGTGCTCGTCAAAGACGAAAATGTGCCTCCTTTACAATGGCCGTTGGCTCGAGTTACTAAGATCATTCCTGGTCGCGATGGTCGCGCACGGGTAGTTGAGATTAAAACCAAAGCAGGTATCTTTTTACGTCCTATCACAAAATTATGTGTCCTACCTTTAAACTAGTTAAAAACTCATAAGTTTTCAACGGGGGGGAGTATGTTTGATCCCAAACTGTGTATTTTCTTTTTATTATTGACGAGTGTGCAAGTGTCAATGTTCTGTCCAATTTTTGTTTGACAAGCTCCGTAACTGTACAAATTTGTTAATGTATAATTTGTTGAAATAAAAGTTTTATTACAAGCAGTCTATCTATAGGCATAAAAGATCCAGAACCAGCACCAGAAGATCAACGGATATGCTGTAATCAATACGAGTTGCAACACCCTGTATATCAAAAATTTTAAGTAATAGGAAACCTTTATGAAAGTTCATCTAAAAATTGACGTAGAATCCAAAATTGCAATAATATACAGGGTGTTCCATATAAAATAACGAAGATGACGTAAACTTCCGGTATAACCGGAAGTGTTAGGTGAACGCCATTATTTTACTTGAGAAGGGCATTTCTGAAAATACTATTGCCCTTTTCAAAATTAGAATCGAAGTAGTCTCTGAAATATGTCTTGTTCAGTTAAATTTATTGAGGATTTTAATTAAAACTTAAGGACGGCTGATATACAGGGTGTAACTAAATAAGTGTAAAACATTTAAGGGGGTGATTCCTCATCGAAAAAAAGATAGGATCGTTCATATAAAGAAACTTCATTGGAGCATCCCTTGTTAAGATACAGCCCCTTAAAGGGGGTACATAAAATTTGTTTAACAATTTTTTTCAAAAGCACTAAACAAGTTACAATATTGAAATTAACCTGACATTTTCTACTACCAAAAAGACACTTAGCCAGTAATTTATTTGGTTTACCCCATGGTTGTAAGGGGTGGAAAACGCAACCCCTAAAATTTATTTCCAACGTAATTTTTTGTCTTATTATTTTTTTACCATTTAAAAATTTATTTCCGATAGCCTGTTTCATTCTAAAAAAAAATGTCTCTTGAATTTTTTGCCCAAATTAAACCAGTTCGCAGCAAAAAATTATTTTACGAACAAGATACATATCGCCATAAAACGAAAATACGAAACTAATTTATCTAGTAGGCCGCCATTAGCGATACTGACAATTAAATTGGAATCAAGCTGTCAGTTTGTAAATTTTTGAAATTGAAGTAATACTAATTGTGTATTGTTCTGTTCTTAATTTGTTACTTTAATAATTCACTTGTTATTAAAATGGCATACACAAATGAGGAAATGGCTGATATGCATTACGTTTACGGTCTGTCGCAGGGGAATGGGTTAGAAGCTTCTACAAGATATGCTGAAATGTATCCTCAACGGCAGCATCCTTCACATAGAATATTTGTCTGACTTCATCAACGATTACGTGAATATGGTTCATTCAACAAAAGAACGCAGGATTGTGGTCGCCATCGAGAAGTAAGAACACCACAGCTTGAGGCAGCAGTACTTAATTTGATAGAAGAACAACCTACTACCAGTACTAGAAAGATTGCTTTCCAGCTAAATGTTGATCATATGACGGTATTTCGAATTTTAAAGGAACATCTCTTATACCCTTACCATCTGCAACGAGTACAGGCACTGTTACCGCGAGACTTTCCGAACCGTCTTGAATTTTGCAATTGGATGCTGGAAATGATTAGAAGAAATCGTGACTTTCTGAAGACGATCGAATTCACAGACGAATGTAGTTTTTCTCGGGACAAGATTATTAATTTTCATAATTACCACATATGGGCTGATGAAAACCATCACGCTATTGTCGAAACTAACCATCAAGAACAGTTTTCTCTTAAGGTGTGGGTCGGAGTTATTGGGGATTATTTAATTGGGCCTCATTTTCTACCTCCTCGATTAAATGGTGAGGCATACGTTCAATTTTTAAGAAAAGTGCATCCCCCCGTACTGCTGGAGGAAGTTCCTTTGGGCGTCAGAAGGGATATGGTTTTTATGCATGATGGGGCTCCCGCCCATTTTAGTCAAGTAGCACGTCAGCATTTAACTGAAACATATGCAAATCAGTGGATAGGTCGAGGAGGACCACAGAATTGGCCCGCTCGATCCCCGGATCTCAATCCTCTGGATTTGTCTACTTGGGGCCATTTGCAGCATTTGGTTTATCGTACTCCTGTTCGCGATGTAGAGGACTTAAGAAACCGCATTATCGATGCGTGCAGGGTAATTAGAGAGACTCCAGGAATATTTGAGCGAATACGTGGCTCAATGCGCCGACGTCTAGACGCATGCGTAATGTCTGAAGGTAGACATATTGAACATTTACTATGATTTCTACATGTTGTATGTTTTGTTATTATTAAATTAGTTTTGATTATTCCCCTTTAATCATTTAATGCAGGTAGTAACTACAAAATAACAGTAAATCCAGTCCGCATTTATGACGATGTATCTCTGTAGTTGTTCGTAAAATAATTTTTTGCTGCGAACTGGTTTAATTTGGGCAAAAAATTCAAGAGACATTTTTTTTTAGAATGAAACAGGCTATCGGAAATAAATTTTTAAATGGTAAAAAAATAATAAGACAAAAAATTACGTTGGAAATAAATTTTAGGGGTTGCGTTTTCCACCCCTTACAACCATGGGGTAAACCAAATAAATTACTGGCTAAGTGTCTTTTTGGTAGTAGAAAATGTCAGGTTAATTTCAATATTGTAACTTGTTTAGTGCTTGTGAAAAAAATTGTTAAACAAATTTTATGTACCCCCTTTAAGGGGCTGTATCTTAACAAGGGATGCTCCAATGAAGTTGCTTTATATGAAAGATCCTATCTTTTTTTCGATGAGGAATCACCCCCTTAAATGTTTTACACTTATTTAGTTAGACCCTGTATATTCTGTTTAAAAATGTTTATGGACCTAAGCCATAGGCAACATTCATTACCTTTCTTTTCTGGCTACAAATCTAAGCCGTTTAATATATGAGATTCGCAAAAAAGGTGACGACAGTTTTTGGAATGGAGAGATAGGTTTTTACGTATATGTATATATTTTTTTCTTACTAATATCGTTTATTCAATTTGTTTATAGAGAATTAGATAAGGATTAATGATAGATATAACAATTGTCCACCTATCGTGATCACGAGCGGTCTCCCAATTGAAATTTATTCTCATTTATTTATAATCATTTATTTAATAGGTATCGACGACTTAGATACTTTAGTTGTGATTCTGAAGTAATAACATTAATAAATATTAGTAACTGAACTATTTCGTTCTATTAATTTAGTAAATTGAGCATATTAAAATATAACCGGATTAGGTGCTACTAGTCGCTAAATAAGCTATTTTGGGTCAACATTATCTTTTAACTCAATATTTAGTAATCGAATATTGAGTAGCTTAGAGCCCTAGGGTAAATGGTTACTGGCGCCCTTAAACTAAACGGTCCTCTTAAAGATTGACCGCACGACCAGCTCCGGCTGAAGGCTAGCTTAAGGTTTTGCACTTCCAACTTGGACCCTTTTTTTCTTTAAGATCAGGGTAAGTACATCAACCCTCAGCGAAACGAGAAAGTAGCAAATTGGCGCCCAACGTGGGGCCCCCAAAAGGGAAAAAATTTATATTTTGTGTTTTTTTGTAGTTTTGATTATTTTAATTTTTTTGTCGTATGATACTAATATTGATAA